CAAACCGATTCCAAAGATGGTCCATCATTCTTATGGCTTATTCATACGAAATTAAATATCGCAAATCTACAGAGCATGGTAATGCAGACGCCTTATCTCGCTTGCCCATAGGAACGGATGAATCGTTTGACAAGGAGGAAGACTGTTTTAATATAATTGTTATAAAAACACCAGTATATGCAGCTGTTATTGTAAAGCATTCTAAAAACGACAAAAATCTTCGTAAAGTGATGAATTTTGTAAAATATGGCCTGAAAAACTGGATCACAATGATTCCGATATTAAACCATATTTTAATCGCAAAACTGCATTAAGAGTATGTGATAATTTACTTTGTTTACATACAGATAGTGTCAGAGTTGTTATATCTCAAACGTTAACAAAGCAAATATTAAAACTTTTATATGATGGTCTACCCCAATGGTAGTACGAGAATGAAGCAGTTAGCATGACAACATGTATTGTGGGTCAACATGGATAAGGAAATTGACGATGAAACAGTGCGATATATGTAAAACAAACAATCCATTATGCAAACAAGAATTTGATAAATGGCTCGCAATGATGCGACCTTGGGAAAGTGTGCATATCGACTTTGCAGGACCATTTTATAACTCGATGTGGTTAATATGTGTCGATGCGTATTCACAATTTCCATTTGTTTGTCAGCTTACAAACAGTGCAACATCCGATACAATAGCAGCTCTATCGTCGATTTTTGCAATAGAGGAGTTACCCGAAACCATTGTTAGCAATAATGGTCCCCAACTAACTGTTAAAAAGTTTGCAATTTTTTGTAAAAGCCATGGGATAAAGCATGTTACGACTGCATTATTTCATCTGGCTTCTAATGGATTAGCTGAAAGGTTCGTTAGAACTTTTAAAACAGGAATGCTGAAAAATATAGATGGAGGGTTGACGATTAAAAATGCTTTAGTAAAATACTTGTCAACATATCGTTTTACACCTAACACATGGGGTAAAATACCAGCCGAACTATTACATGGTCGTAAGGTACGAACATTATTAAGCCAAGTTCGACAATTTCATCAACCTTATGATAGCAAAAATAATTCTAATGCACAATTTCAACCTAATCAGTCAGTTTTTTTTAGAAGTTATTCAAGAGGGGAAAAATGGCTGAAAGGAACTATTAGTCGTCCACTTGGAAAATTATTGTATATAGTAAAGACAGATGCTGGGTATGTGAAACGTCATTCCAATCAACTAAGAGCCTACAACGGAACAAATCAAAGCAATGAGGCAATAGAAACTGATGCAATTCCTATATTATTCGCGCCAAAAGCTACAAATGACCAGCCACCATCAATCATGCAACATCAACCGCAGAAGCTATGTGAACAGCAACAACAGGAGCAACAGGATTTTAGAAATACCTATCGCAAACGTAATTGATATTTAATGTCTTAAAGATAAAAAGAACTGAGTATAAGAATTTGAGAATTTGAATTAAAAATGTAAAATCTAACATAAATTCAGAAGGGAAAAGTTATTGGAGCTTTTAAAAGACATTTAACAATTAAACATTCTTGCTTTAACAATTTAAATTTAGAAACCTAGTTAATATAGTGTTAAAAGTCAGGAGTAATCATAAAATGTAAGTAACTTTTGATTGGTTTTATAATGATACATGGACAGAATTTCTCATATACTTAATACATAATGACAAACTTATTTTTCAATTCACTCTGATAAGTCTGGGTAGTCCCCAGACGAAACGCGTAAGTGGGAACCAACTAGGACGGCTTCTAGCATTGAACTACTTGAACTACGCGTTTATTTAAAGTTCGCGATTCAAATCATATATTAACTTTTTGCGAAAAAGAAAAGAAATTTAAAAGTGTAATACGTAAAATTTCGAATATTAACTTTTTACAAAAAGGGAAAGAAATTTAAAAGTGTAATATATAAAATTTCAAATATTAACTTTTTCGAAAAAGGAAGTGAAAGTGTAACACCTTTAACTTCACGTATGAACTTTTGGCGAAAACATTCAAACATAAAAGTGCAGTGACGCCAACCGTTCCGTGAGTAGGGGCCTGACAACTCTAAAAGGGATTTTAACGGATCGTCCACAACAATGCAGATGGTGATCTTCGTCCTGTAAGTCAAACTTTTAAGATATATATTTGATATATACGTATGAAAATATATTAAATATATATAAGATATATATTAAAATATTATAAGAAATATTTTTAAAGAAAGTTCTGAAATTAGTAAACATATACTAATATTTTTAATTTTGCAAATTTATTGAAGAAAATATTTTTTTTAAAAAAAAATTAATATAAAACTATTAGCCATAGTGTTGTTTAAATTTATTATTAAGCCAATGGTGGCTATTATGAAATGTCTACCGATAGACAATAGACATTTGTCTACTGAGTCGATTGATAGGCAAATTTGGTATTATGAAACTTGATAGACAAACATTTGCACTATTGTGAATGATGTAAAGGTTTTAGAGCGCCCAGCTTTAATTGAACTTATTTTTTTAATTTTGTTCGCTAAGAATTGAATTGAAATTCTTTATAAAATATATATAAAATTAAAAAAAAATGTCCACAGTATATATTTGGTATTCGTCTTCATCGGAAGACGATGAAAATACAAATCTTCGTCTATACAGACGCAGAATTCGAGATGCAGCAAATCCACTGAAATATGATACACAAACGTAAATTCAAATGTGATAAATGTATAATTGTGATTAATATATTTGTTTTCATTTAAAAGATTGTCATGTAGGCCTGGGTAGGGGTAAACGAAGAGTTAATAAAACAACGTGAATATTAATGACGTTAACATACCTTGTAATTTATGTGGCTTCCATGGGTACTTCAGTTATTTTTTTTATTATATCGCCGACATTGTCAAGGTGTTTTTAATGTGACCACCAACAGTATTCCTCTTGCGCATAACTATTAAGTACGCTGTTCACTTTTTTTTATTATATAGTCCACAAGTAATTTTTTTATAGAATTTAAATGTGTTATATTTGCGCTCACTATTGAAAGAATTTCAATTTATTAAATTTACAACGTGCATTGCGCGCACGCTATCAGTAAAAATAGAAGTAAACAAAAGTGGTAAACAGAGAAGGCGAAAAGTAAAGCTTTTACGTTCAAGTCTCGTTTGTTTAGTGCAATATAGTTAAGGCGAACTTCACTAAAGCTTCAGTAAAGTTTGACTTAATGAGAGGGGACAGTATTGCCAAGTGCGAATAACCACTCGAAATATCTAAGACAAATTGTAGCTTTATTGAAAAGGAGAAAGAAAAAAGAAGCTTTATTAGAGGTTATTACCCTCAAGTCAAACAAGGCCAGCTAACGCAAATTAACGAAAGCAAGCTTTGCTAACAGGATCACTAACATGATAGGAATTTATCAGTTAGGCGAATTGGATATAAAAGCCATAGCAGACACGGTGATGGCTCTCTTTCTTTTTCCTTTGCTGTTGGTTGATGAACTATCGAAATTTAAAAGTACTGATAGAAGTCAAGTTTGTTTCAAAACTTAAGATTAAAAGAAAAAAAAGTGAATAAAAGTGCTAATAAAAGCCAAGTTGTTTTAAAACCCAAGAGATAATAATTAAAAATTTCATTAAATTTGAAAAGTGCTAATAAAAGCCAAGTTTGTTTCAAAACCTAAGAGATAATAATTAAAAATTGAAAAGTGCTAATAAAAGCCAAGTTTGTTTCAAAACCTAAGAGATAATAATTAAAACTTCATTAAATTTGCATCGTCTCTAATCATATTCTTAAAAAGTGGATCAAATGCATGAGTTTTATGCCAAATAATGAATAGTTTTTTTTCCGAAATATGCTTAAATAGAGACATATGCAAATAGAGACATATGCAAATGTATTATGACAAGTCAAGTGCAACAGAAGAATGAGCAAAAATTTTGAAATGATACATAAAACTCATTAGTGATTAACAATTATAACACAATAAATAAAAATTTGGGGTTCTTCTAAATGAAAACCACCCAAAGAAGCCGAAATAAAGTGATAAAGCTGTTTTGTGGCGAAATGTTAATACCTACATTGGGGATATAGCAGATAGTGAAGTGATAAATAGTTAAACTAGAAGACATGACCATAGGGATATTGGACCGGTAACAAAATTCACTTTTGTTGGAAGAATTCAACGGGATCAATACACACCGTTAAGGCACAACGGTGTACAGGTATTCCTGCACTAGAAAAAAAATCTATCTTATACTGAAACACACGTGTCTGCATTTATATATTTTTTTTATTTTTTTATATTTTTTTATTAGATATATTCCATTGTATATTTTTATTTTTCACTAACATATAATTGTGATGAATTAATGAAATTAGGATTAAATTAAATTTGGATGTTAAAAAGATTACCCTGAAAGTTGAATTGTATTAATTATTAAATATTATCTTAAGAATTGCATAAAATATTATCTTAAGAATTGCAAAAATGAAAATTAAAATTAGGAATTAAATTTGGAAAAGAAAAAAAAAAAGATTATCTCGAAAGTTGAATTATATTAATTACTAAATATTGTCTTAAAAATTGCATACGATATATATACGAAAGAAAAAAAAAAAATAAGAGTAACGAGAAAAAAAAAGAGATTTTTAAATTTTTTTATATTAAAGAGTCCTAAATATATAAAAATACATATACATATATTTTTTTATTATTCATAAGTTTCAGCTAGGTCAACAGCAGCGTGGGTGACGTCATTCTAGCAGCTGTAAGGTAAGACACGCGAACTTGTGTAAAGAGAAATTGTTACTTTGTTTAAAAATTTAGTTAAAAGATTGGATTGTGTATATTTTTCCATCTATTTTTTTGTTTTTTTTAATATAAAAGTATAGTTAAATACAAGATTAATGTCAACTTGTTGAATCTAATAAATAAAAAGAAAGAAAAAATAAAAAAGAAAAGGAGAAGAAATTTTTTTTGATGGAAAACTCAAATAGTATGCAGGAGTAAGGTTTAGTTATTTGCCGGTGGTGGAAGTGCTAGGGAAAAATAGAATGTATATAAGTTGCAGAGTGACCGAGTGAATGTAGTGTGAAAGATGATACAGACAAAACAGACGAGGACATTTCAAGCTGCTGCAATATAGCGAAATCAATTAGGCAATGGCTATATTGTGATTGTGTTAGATGTAGGTTCCGCACAAAAATGGTTTTCTTCCACAGCAAACCGGTGACATGAATTTTTGTTGATATCCGCGATTGTTGCTGAACGTGAGAAGAATCACCCCCAAAACCGGCGAGCATACCGGGCTGGCCACCATGTCACCGCTCCACGTTCACTGCAGTGTTACTTCGCCCACCGAAGACCGGACACAGCAAGATTTATTGCTAACTATCGCTTGAGCAAGGAAGCGTTTCTGGAAGTGTTGCACGAAATCGATGGCCACTTGCAAAGCGGTACAAGCAATTTTAAAAGTAAATAAGTTGGCTGCTTTATTAAGATTTATTGCGCAAGGTTCTTATCAGTTAGGAATAGGTAACGAGGGCATTGTTGGAATGGCGCAGTCAACACTGTCCGTAATAATTAATGAAGTATTGAATGCATTGGAGAGCACAATTTGTCCTAAGTATGTTTCATTTATAAATACAGGAGCAGAAACTTGTGCGACAAAGCTTTATTTTTATGAAAAATGTGGTATTCCGGGCATCATTGGCGCTATTGATGGTACACATATAAAAATTGTATCATTAAAAAACACACAACATCTATATTTCTGCAGAAAAGGATATCACAGCATAAATGCTATGATTGTAAGTATATATGAGTTAATGTTCGAACACATGCCAAATTAATTTAAATCGTACTGCAAGGTATGTGACCACAAAAGAAAGATAAGATATGTAAGTGCAAAATATCCAGGATCTTCTCACGATTCTTTAGTTTTCAATATGTCAAATCTCAAAGCGCATTTGGAAACTGAATATCAAAACGGAATGCAGAATACTTGGTTGCTAGGTAAATTTTAAGTAAAATATTAAAACAAATTATTAATTGAATTAATTTTCAGGAGACTCAGGGTATCCCTTGAAACCATATCTTTTGACACCATACCGGAACCCTGCAGATAGCTCTGCAGAACAACAATTTAATAAGAAGCATGTCCTAGGAAGAGAGATCATAGAACGATGTATTGGCACTTTTAAAAATCGTTTCAGATGCTTAATTGGAGCTAGATGTCTGCATTATACACCAGAAAAAGCAACAAAAATAATACATGTGTGTGCAGCATTACACAACATTTGCATTAAATACGATTTGTCCGAGCCTACACCACCAGATGTATATCAAGATAACGATGATAATGAGCCGGAAGATGATCTATTGGAAATTTCGAATGACGACTCGCCATTGGGCGCAAATCCGCATTTGTTAAGGGACAAAATTGCACGTTCAATTATGCATTAAAAAATTGAAATTTAATTACATCTCCTCTAAAAGTATAAAATCCTTGTAAAAGCCTTGTTGCAAATACCTTTCGCAATATCTGGATATTTCTCCATATTTGCAACAAGTTTTGCTATTTGCTTTTTATTACTTATTGATTTTGCCCTACAACAAACCTTATTCATTTTATTATTTCTTAATATTATATAAAAACTTACATA